AACCAGAGGTGACAAACCAGTTCATTAAGAAACACCCTCTTAGGATAAATCCTTGCGTTCACTCGAGCCACTTTTTTCTGCAGAAGCAGGTTTTTTCCGTACCGCCCCTCTCCGTTGCAGCTGGTATCAAGTGCCCGTTCCTCTTGCACAAGCACATTCGGCATCTCCTGGCCTCCCTTCCTCGAGTCACGGGAGATGCTGTAGTACGCGGGAGAAAGCAAAGTGAGTCCCTTATGTTGCTTTTGCTAAATGCTCCTTAACCGTTTCACAGCAGCCTGTTCCTGGCAATTATGTGACAATTCAGCACAAATGTCACGGAGCTGCTAAGTTTTCAGCACTTTCCGCAGTGCTGAGGCTGGAAAACAATGCATATGTATTTTTTGCTGATCCAAGTCCTTAGTAATTACACTTAATAGATCCCAGCGGGATTCCTAGGTAACCTGCACTATGGTTTCCATGGCAGAGAGGCAGAGCTTGTACCCCACGATAACAGATAATAATGGATTGTTAATGCTTAAATTAATTATGCTACAATTGTATTTGTAAACCAGCTGTCCCTTGTATTCCCAGTAAGGCTCTTGAGTTGCTACACAACAGTTAAAGGACCAAAACAAAGGCGGCGGCGGGGCAGAGATGGGGATGCTCGGCCGCAGCCACCAGCAGAGCTGCAGTGAGCCAAAACCCCCAGACTGGAAGAAACCTTCACTCGTTAGTTCTGCAGCTACGATGACTGTGATTACTCCTGGGCCATAACAAGGGTTTATTCCCATTTTAGTGTTTCCATGGGTTTGGGTCTATGTTCCAGCTCTCGAAACTTTGGAGGAAATCTTAAAAGTCCCTGGAGACCATCGCTGTTGCCACAGAAGGACCCTTTCGCCTAGCTGATACTGGGGTACGTTGCCCATCCTGGGCAGATGTTTTCCTCCTACGAAGGAGTCGAGGGATCTTGTTATAAAAAACCAAAATAAAAAATCCCAGCCCCAGAGCTACCTCATTTTCCTGATGAAATCTGCCATCAGCCAGTACGCTGGATGACCCTTTGGTGCACCAGAGCTTGATTTAATTTTTCCTTTCCCGGAGCCAGGCTGGTAACCGTTCCTGGGTGGAATTCATCTCACGTCACTTGGTCTACAGACAGCCTAGATGGTTAGCGCAGACTAGATGTCTAACGTTTAGACAGCTAAAATTGGGTGAGAGGACGCTGCCAACTGGCATCTGCTTCCCAGTAAAGCAGGTTCTGGACTTGCAGGCACTGTGCTGGGAGGCAGCCCGGCGTTTCGCAGCGGAGCCCCGTCTCCTGAAGGACAGGCTGGGTAGTTTAAACAAATCCCTGCAGTTCCTGACGGCTTGCTTTAGCACTGCTATTTCAGGGTTAAAGAGAGTGTTGGAGCTTTTTTTAAAAAAAAATTAAAAAAAAAAAAAAAAAAACAAACCACAAAGCAAAAAAAAAAAAGCTTTGCAGGCTGATTGCTGTCTTTGACACACAAACCCCAGGCTCAGAAAATCAGCTCAACCTCTGGCTTTCTGGCACCCTGGAGCCAGGCAAAGAAAACCTCGGGGTTTTCTTTGGGCTTCTCCAAGCCTCAAGGAGGCCAAAGACGAGACAAAGCACCGCCGAACTACTAACGCAACATGCAAAGGTGCAAATCAAGGGCTCTGTCTCTTCTCTCTAAAAGTGGGTGACTCACGTTAGAGGGCTGGCAGGTGGTGTGAAGAGCTGGAAAAGCTGGCAGTTCTAAAACGCTGGCGGTAGCTGCAGTAAAAGGGAGTTCACTGACCTGTTGCCAGGATGGGCTCGGCAAAACATCTCTTCCCAAGCACAAACCCCAAAGTGATTCATCTTCTGCCTGGGCACTAAGCAGGAATCACTTCTTAGAAACAGATGACACATATCCCAGGACATCCTTGCCATCAAAGGGGAGAAGGGCAAGCGTTTTCCTCTGAGCAGAGGTTAAGGCTCAGAGACCTTACAAGTTAGAAATAAGCCAGACATAAGCATTTAGAAGTGCAGCGGGATTCGTAATTGGAACTAAAACAGAAGCTTCAGAGTCGCAAAGCTGCTTATCCACCAGCTGCCACAGGCAGGACTCCAGCTGCTGCCGAGATGCGCCGGCATCTCACCGGGGGGGCAGCCGTACCGGCCATTGCTGTGTGGAAAGCCTTTGTTGGGGTTAGCATGGGGAAAAGGATGTTAAAAAGAGGGAACCGTAAAAAGGAAGCAGAATTTGTAGGTTGTCAGACAGTCGGATTTGAGCTGTTCAGTTTGCAGGGACCCCTCCCCTCCTGCGTCATCCCATTTCTGGGATGCTTTTGCTGGCAAATGTGGAAGACCCCACGGATGCGGTGGCAAAGCAAGGATTTTCTCCTGCCTCTGCATTGAACAGGGGGTGCAAGATGGAAATAGGTGCGGAGTGAACCGGGGAGCTGAGCAAAACATTTGTGCACGGGAATCCAGTTGCTGCTGATATAAGTGGGTAGGTTCGTGTTGCTTAGTTTGTTGACTCCCCCCATTTTTCTAGATGAGGGCACGACTTTGATGTACTGGTGTATAAAGGAAGGGCGTGCTCCCTCCCTGGACACCGTCCCATCAGCATCCTCTGAACGCAAGTACCAAAAGGTTGTGATTTCGGTCAGTCCAACAGGTCCATCCCAAAGTGTCCATGTTTGTGAAGGTAAAGCTCCAACACCAGGGCATTAAGAGGCAGCCAGTCCGGCTCTATCCTTTTTGTCAGGGAGAAGAAAGCAGCCTCCAGATTATCCCGGGCTCACCTCAGCTGGTATTACAACTTTGCCTCCTTCATGGTATTGAAACGATGTAGTAGTCTGAGCAGAGCAGAGGCAGGGGAAATCAAACGGCGAGCGGACCAAGGCTACGGCAAGTACGAGCGAGAGCAGTTCGGTCCTCCCCTGGCTGGGAGGAGGAGGGAACCGAATGCATTTTGTGTCTCTGTGGTGCCCTGCCAACAGAAACAATGACAGGGATAATCACTCGCAATCTGTTATTATATTAACACGAGCTCAAAAATCGTAAAACCCGATAATCTTTTGAAATGAAGCTAAACCCCCCCAAATGTAAATAACACACCACATCGCAGTGCTTGGCAGCGGCAAGGCCGGGGAGGGGGGAGAGGAGTGGCAGCGGGGGGGTTGGTTTCTGCCTTTGAAAGGCTTTGCGTGGTGCAGGCGGAGAGATTTGCTGGAAGCAGTCAGGCGTGGATACCTGGCTGCCAGGAGAGGCTCTCCGCAATCCCTCCATTTGGTTGGCTTCCTTTGACCCTGTTGCTAAGCTACAAATATGCCTTTCCAGCAAGCTCCAGCATCCTCCCTCCCACCCACTCCCAAATGCGAATTGAATCAGAAGAGAACCGATCTCTGGCCAGCAAGGAGCTTTTTTCCATATATTTTTTTCCAGCAGCTCTGCAGAGTGCTACAAGGATTTGCTTAGAAAGGGTGCCCACCCCTGCCCCCTGCCAACCCAACAGCCACAGGAGCTTTGTTCCGAGGACAGGAGCATAGAGAAAAGCATTTATACCATTCCAGGCGATTAAAGCTGGCACAGCTCCGTTGCAGCAAGAATAGACGAGGATACCAGCTACTCCGAGAAATAGCTACCACCTACCTGCACACACGCTTGCTCACCCTGATGCGAGCCACGTTAACACTTTAGGACAGAAAATGTTTTATGGCAGGGATGAAGGTGGCAGGGTGGATGTTTTTCTGACCGGTGTGCTGCAGAAAGATGCGTTGGAGGGTTGGCTGCAATCCCAACGCCGAGTGGTCGTTCCTGGGATGCTAATAGGGTCCAACAGCCACATCCCCCTCGGGGCCAACACAAGTTGTCCAGGCTGCCTTTGCGCTCAGTGGAAAGTCGTGGATGCTCCCGGGGAGCGCTTCAACCTACCCTCTGGTGGGTGTCTGACATGGCCCAGCTGCGATGCCGGGAGCTGCAATGGCTTCCTCATACTCTCCGGGAGCTTAATTTGGTCCTTACGAACCTCAGGAAAGGTTATTAGAGCTTTCCCAAAATGTGGCATTAACATAGATCACCAGGTGCTGGCCTGACTTTTGCCTTTACCAGGATACCTGTACAAGCAATCAGGTTTATTGGGAGATGTCCTTTGAAGACTCCTCCAAACCATCCCCAAACAACTCCATGATCCAGTGATAATTTTTTTTTTCCCCCTTTCCAGTGACCACCCCGGTAAGCAACTGATTTTAGTTATTCTTCTAAGGCCAGATTTCCTTTGCGCATGGCACAGGGGAGTCCATAAGCAACTGCTGTGTTAATCAGGTGTGCGGCCAGGTGTTTGCTTGGCAGATGCTGGGTCCGGATCTCACATTGGGACTTATATGGCATTTGTGAAAATGCAGGACAGTAAACAAGTCTGGCTCAAGAATTGCGGGTATCCGTGTCTATTGAGACAAATGGATGGAAGTAAGTGGTGAAGCGGCTCAGAAAAGCAGGAGTCCAGCAGCTTTGCTGTCACTCAGGCATAAGGGGACAGTGCTACCAGGGATGCTGCCGGCCCCAAGAATGCCTTGGGCTATGGGGTGGTGTGAGAAGGGAGCAAAGGGGCTCCCGGCAGAGCCCAGTTCATTTCAGTTGGTGAAACAGGAGAGGGATTTTGTCTGCCTTTGCAGAATCAGAGGGCTGCCTTGGGAGGATGTTGTGCTTAGATGAAAGGGTTAGCTCCATCACAGGGACGGAGGCAACAGAGCTGGGTTTAGTCCTTGCTTCTGCTGTTTGCTCGCCTCTAAGGGGGAAATCTTAATTCACACCTTCCTCACTAAGGCAGCAGCTGGCAAAACTTCAGCGAGGGTTACCGAACACTTTGGGATCATTTGCTGGAGGGTGTAAATCGGTGTAAATCGGCTGTTTGGGGTCTGCTCCTCTGCAGTAACCCCCCCCGCCCAGCGCAGATCCTGACCCCAGCTACAAGGCAACCTGAGAGAGACTTTCAACGCACCTTCTAACCCCTCTCCTTCTCTTTCTCTTCCAGGGCTCAGCTCCCATCTTGGTAGTCATGGTGATCTTACTAAATATTGGAGTCGCCATTTTGTTTATTAACTTTTTCATCTAATTCAAGACTGTCTTGTTTGCAAAAATAACAGTTACATGTATGAATGGGGGAAAAAAAAAAAACCCAACAACAAAAAGGGAAAAATCATAACTCGAACTGTCCTACGACAATTTCCAAGTCTTTTCACAGAAGAACAACAAACGATCGAGTCTCACTCACAGTTTGCCTTTTTTCCTGGGTAATGTTTTTTGGATTTTAGCCAAAATTCTTTGCTTGTATAACACTATGCTGTGTGGCATGGCAAAATGCTATCAACACTCTGCCCCCCCAACACTGGAAAGGATGAGAAGGAATCCCAACAAAATAAAACCTCATTTCCCTTCCCCTCACCCTCACAAATATATTCGTAACAACAGTAATGAACCCCAAAATGGAGACTAGATGAGGGGACCGTGGGGAGATTTTGTCTGAAGTATGTACGGGTCCTGGGATGCTCCAGGCTGAGTTTCCCAGGGAAATCCACAACAGCTTTAATGATAAAGTAAATGGGAAGGAAAAGCAAAATCAGGCTTTTCTTCCTTCTCCCTTTGTAAATGCAGAAACGTTGCTGTAAGAAGGAGGAGAGGAGCAGCATGAGGAAGGCATGAACCCTGTCTAGACGTGAAAGATGGGAGAAGGGCAACGGGCCCCATTTTATTATTTGTTTTTAAAACAAAGCAGCAATTGGTGTTTTGCTAAATTTCTTGGGGCAGGGGGGGAATAGTGAACACAAGGTGTGAGCAGCAGCCCCACCGCCCTCCTGCCTTCACTCCTCCTCCCCAGGCTGCTCCCCGCTCCATGCAAGGCTGGAAAACCACCCAGCGCTACTTTTAACTCACAGCCAATTTGTTCTGGGTAAAAATGTGTACCCGGATCCTCCCCAAAAACTTGCAGGCACCTTCAGCAACACGAATTGAGTAGCTGCTGGTCATCGTGCCATGCTCGCCATCAGGCGAGGAGCAGCGTTACTTGAGCATCCCACCCCAAACGCACGTGTGCACAGAGATGCCGGGGAGCTGACCGGTGAGGAGGGACTGGGGAGAGAGGGCTCAATTCTGATCCACTTAGGATAACAATAAAACAAAATAAAGCAAAATAAGATAAAACTGTTTTTCAAAGGCATCTGGGGAGGAGCACTGGAGCATGTCCCAGAGAGGAGGGAGAGGGTGGTGGGTTTGTCTTTTACATCTTGCTGTGGACTGTTTCAGACATCATGCTTGGGCTCTGAGCATGTAGTATTTTGCACTTTGTAATGCAGGATGTATATTCCAGCTTCCAACATGTCCCTGTAAAAAAAAAAAAAAAAAAAAGAAAAAAAAAAAAAAAAAAAAAAAAAAAAAAAAAAAAAAAAAAAAAAAAAAAAAAAAAAAAAAAAAAAAAAAAAAAAAAAAAAAACCTTAGTTTTTTGTTTTATCCCATCTTTGTAATATGCCTGCCTTGATTTTCTCCCCTCCCCTGTCCCCACCGATAATATGCATACTCATTAAAGATGCCGTATCCCTGTTCTGAGCTGTTATGGTCCCAATCACAAGAGTGTGGTCTCAGCTCAATTGCTTGGAAATGGCTGACGTCCCCTTGCTTTTCAAAAATGATTGTACTGTTTCCTCCCCTCCCCACGCCGTCTTTCCTCGCCGTGGAGATCGGCTTTGCCGGTGATCCACCACCACCGGGTACGGTTCAAATGGCTGGTTTGGGATTTGGTACGTCCAGGGACCAAATTCCACCCTCACTTCTACCCACTGCAGCTCCGTTCAACGGGAGAAGGGGTGCGAGTGTGGCAGGAACCCGCGGGGGGGGGGGAACCCCGGTAGAGA